CGGCGTTTACATTGGCCCGACTCGTCTCTCGCCCACTATTGTATTTTTTTCTCTCTCTCCGGTCGCTGATCATACACAACTGGAAATGGATGTAGAAGAGGTGGCATTTGCATGGGTTTTATATCGTCGTTTGCAGCGGCGGAAGAAGAGACAGATGTTATTGGGTTCATCCTATCTTAAATGACAGACTTACCCATGGAATGTTCTTCACATTGTATCCAAAGTTACGAGAACATGAACCCAATTTCTTTAACGACATGAGAATGTCCATCAGATCAGGATGACAGGCTGGGGGAAGCGGAAGCTACTGTCGCCTGTCTGTCTGCCTCCACTCCACGTGATGATCTCTCATTGGTCGAATCCCACCCCTCCAGCCAATGAGGCACGCCATCACCATGAAAATGCAGTGGCTGTCGCCGTGTGTGTGCGGCTGCATAGCAACACATGTACCTCGAGTGGCTGAGCAGTCGGGCAACTGTGAGGAAAATCTCTTAGTCGCGCCACAAGCCAGCCACAAGCCACTAGTGTGTGCGCTCCTATTCACTTCCATTGACCTGACAGTCGGGCTTCTAGCAGTCGCGCCACGAAAGTCGCTCGTCTGAACAGGGTCTTACTCCCACGCTCCTGAAACCGGGATGCCTTTCCTCCTCATGCTTCCTCCTCCTCCTCCACAGGGCGCTGGGGGCTTCCTCTTCTCGGCTCGATCCCTCTCTCTAGGAAGTCTCTCGAGGGGCATCTCCTGGACCTCAGACGCCGCCACGGAGACATCTATGTGTGAGTTGTGAGTCGTTGTCGGAAGGGAGTTGTGGGGAGGGGGATGTGGCCGGTGGGGGCGCGTGTTCTTGGTGTGTGATGCATATATAAGTGTATATATAAACATGTATTGTTATAAGAGTGAACATACACGCATCACATACATGTTGAGATACACACAGAAATATACTCACACACACTCATACATGCATGCATACGTACAAGCATTTATCTCTCTCTCTATCTCTATCTCTTTATCTATCTATCTATCTATGCATATCTATCTATCTATCTATCTATCTATCCAACTAACTAACTCTCTTTCTATCTATCCATCGATCTATCTATCTATCTATAATCTATATCCATCAATTTATCAATACATATATACACACACACATATATATATACCTACATACACAAGCGCCTACCCAGCTCTTGTTTCCCCCATGAGGTGGCGGATAGGGACGCAGACTGTGGTGTTCCTGCATGACTACCACATGGCCAAAGAAGCCTTCACGCGCCCCGAGTTCCTTAACCGGCCTGACTGGAGCATCTTTAAGTTGATGGTGTCGGATAATAATTCAGGTAAGTTAGGCGCACGTGCAGATACATACGCATGTGAATAAACACGCTTTTACACACACACAGATATGTATAAATAGGTACATAGATTGATAGACAGAGATAGATAGATAGAGAGAGAGAGAGAGAGAGAGAGAGAGAGAGAGAGAGAGAGAGAGAGAGAGAGAGAGAGAGTGAGGGAAAGAGAGAGAGAGAGGGAAAGAGACATAAACAGAGATAGATTCATACATACATAGATAGATAGATAGAGAGATGGAGGATCAAGCATTTTTACACACAATACTTCTTTATATCTACATGTATACGAACGTGCGTGTGTCTAAATAGAGTAAACAGAAGCTAGTAGGCTAAAATATATAAAAAGATTCAATTACGTCTTGAGTAAGTAGATGGGCAATGTCCATCGAGCTCGTCTAGATTCTAGTTAAACAGACAGGGTTTGATGGAAACTTATAGATAGATAGATAGATAATACTCAAACACGCAGATAGACCTGCATAAAAAAATGATGTCTGAAAATGCAGTGATATATAAGGTAATAAAAAAATCGACTTAGATCAAAAAATATATTAAAAGGATATAAAATTACAGGAAAATAAACTGATGATGTAATAACCACTTGTTACCAAACATGATTCTAGCCAGTCATTCTTACTTGCAATGCGCTATGAATCAATATCATGCTAGTTGCATAAATTGTGATGTTTGCTGCATCATGATATCACTGCAGAATTGAGTACATGTGCGAGAGAGAGAGAGATGGATAGAGAGAGAGAGAGGGAGGGAGGAGGGAGGGAGGGAGGGGGAGGGAGGGAGGGAGGGAGGGAGGGAGGGAGGGAGAGAGAGAGAGAGAGAGAGAGAGAGAGAGAGAGAGGAGAGAGAGAGAGAGAGGAGAGAGAGAGCAGGGAAGAGAGAGAGAGAGAGAGAGAGATAGAGAAAAGAGAGAAATAGAGAGAAGGAGATAGAAAAAAATAATCGCCAGACAGACGGACATAACAACAACAACAAACAAAGAAAAACAAAAATACACACACACAAAAACATTACAAAAACAAAAAAACATTACAAAAAAAAAACAAAAATTAATTCAAAAGACTGACAACCCCCTCCCCCTCCCCCCTCCCCCCATCCCCCATCCCTCAGGCGTCGTGGGCAGCAGCGGGGCCACGTGGCACGCGAACCGCCGCTTCACCCTCAGACAGCTGCGCGACCTGGGTATGGGCAAGTCGCGGATGGTGTCAGTGGTGCAGCGGGAGGCACAGTGCCTGGCGGAGGAGCTGGGGAAGCAGGCGGGCAGGGCGGCGCCGGTGCCACACGCGCTCACCGTCTGCGTCTTGAATGTCCTGTGGCAGTTGGTGGCTAGTGCGTGTTTGTTTGTTTGTTGTTTGTTTTTTTCTCGTTTTTTGTAACCTGTTTTTACGTTTTTTTTTTTACCTAAGTATTACCTGTTTATTTTAGTTTTTTTTTACCTGTTTGTTTTTTGTTTTTTACATATTTTTTGTTTTGTTTGTTTGTTTGTTAATCTATTTTTTATGTTTGTTTTTTGTTTGTTTGTTAATCTAATTTTTTATGTTTGTTTTTTGTTTGTTTGTTAATCTATTTTTTATGTTTGTTTTTTGTTTTGTATATTGAGGATGATGCGAATATGTCTGATTTTTCGCTTTCTGTTTGTTAGAATCTTGAATGTCTTTATCTGTGTATCTTTGTGTTTGTTCATCTTAATTCCGTACATTGAAGATGATATGAAGATGTTTAAATAAGGAAAATATTTGCATTTCATCCAAAAATCTTTATCACACATATGAACACACAAACATAGGTATATAGGCTGATATAGACTTAGATAAAGGTATATGTACATATAAAAAAGATAAATAGACTGACAGACACATAGAGACAAACACATTTATACAAACTAAGAGATAGATAGACGGACAGACATGCAGACAGACAAACAAACACACAAAGAGACAGAGAAACAATATAACAAAGAAACAGACAGACGAACAGACAGGGAAACGATCAACCACCGGGACAAAACAGACAAACAAAACACACACACAAACGAACAGACACAACCCAGACAGACAGACAGAATCTAGACAGGGATACAAACAAACTCATACAGATAGATAAATAAATAAAACCTCTTTAACCCATATCCCCCTCTACCCCCCACCCCACCCCCACCACCCTTTACCCCATATCCCCCTCTACCCCACCCCACCCCACCACCCTTTACCCCAAATCCCCCTCTACACCCCCACCCCAACCCCCACCACCCTTTACCCCATATCCCTCTCTACCCCCACCCCACCCCACCACCCTTTACCCCATCCATATCCCCCTCTACCCCCCAACCCCACCACCCCCGAAGGCAAAAGGTTCAGCGTGGACGACCCCGTTATACTGGACCTCGAAGGACTCATCGACGACACCCTGGCAAAGATGGCACGCCTCACGGTGCCAGACTTCCTGCCGTGGCTCTCCCGCGCCTTCCCCCTGGCACTGCAGAAGCGGCTCTTCGCCCTCGATATACTGGAGGTGATGAAGGACAAGTTCTCGAGGTTCTGTGAGGTAGGTTGGAGGAGGAGGAGGTTCTGTGAGGTAGGTTGGAGGAGGAGGAGGAGGAGGAGGGAGGGGAGGGTGGGAAGGGGAGGAGGAGGAGGGGAGGGTGGGAAGTGGGAGGAGGAAGGAGTAAGGTGGAAGGGAAATGAGAGGGGAGGGGGGAGGAAAGGAGGGTGGGTGAGGGAGGGAGGGAAGGGTGATGAGAGAGAGAGAGGAATGATGAAGGAAGAATAAGGAGAGAAGGAAAGAAAGAGAGAGAGAGAGAGAGACAGACAGACAGACAGACAGACAGACAGATAGACTGAGAAAGAGAGAAAGAAGTGGATACAGAAACATAGAGACAAAAAAAAACATATCACGCCAAACAAAACAGTCGACCATAAACATAACCAGACACATAGAAAAACGAACAAAAATTGAACAAAACGAGCTAAAAAAAAAAAAAAAAAAAAACTCAGAGAATAGAAAAGAAGACGAAAAAAAGTGAAAGATCTTTCTCCCGCACCTCTCAGGAACTCATCGACGACCACAAGCAAGCGCTGGACCCAAGCAATCCGAGAGATCTGATTGATGCTTACTTAATTGATCTGCAGGAGAGAAGATTGATCGGCGAGGAGGAGACGGACCGTTGTGAGTGTCGTGGTTGTTGTTTGTTGTTGTTGTTGTTTTCTTTCTTTTTCCTCTTTAACTTTTTCTCTCTGTTTTATTAGATCCTTTCTATGGCTCTTTTTTTTCTGGCTCTGTTTTTCATTCTTTTTTTCTGTCTCTGTGTTTTTCTCTCTTGTATGTATGTCTCTCTCTCTCTCTCTCTCTCTCTCTCTCTCTCTCTCTCTCTCTCTCTCTCTCTCTCTCTCTCTCTCTCTCTCTCTCTCTCTCTCTCTCTCTCTCTCTCTCTCAACTATTATTTAGCTATCTATTACTTATTCTATTTTCTAATCTATTTACAAATTATCACCCTTATTTTTTATCTTATTTCCTCATCTATTTACAAAGTATCACCACTTTTTTTTTTTTTTTTTTTTTGGGGGGGGGGTGTTACACTACTTATGTTACGACACTGGTCTGTCTTGTAACTAAAAATAGTCTTCGAGCTT